TGTGTGTGTGTGTGTGTGTGAGATAACAAAGGAAAATATATATCCAATACGTTACAAATATGGAAGAAAAAATTGAGAAAAATCAAAGGTATAGATAAAAACCTATTTGAAGCTTTGCTTGATTTTCCCAAATACTTTTTCACCACTTTGATGTATTTCCCTTTTATGCTCTTGATTGCTCCAAAATATCAAGTAAAACAAAAGAAAAAGGAAGAGAAAATGAAAGAAGAGAAATAAAAGAAATAAAATGGAAGAAGAAGCAAGAGAGAAAAACTCTCTACAAACTCTCTAGAGTTTGAGTCATGAGATTTGATCTTTAAACTCTCCCAAAATCGAGCACAAGAAAAAGCCCAAAATGCCCTTAAGATTTTTGATTTTCGACAATTTTTAATGCACAGGTGCGCGGGTGCTCCAGAAGAAAAGTGCGCTAACAAATTGCACAGGAGGTCCTCAGGATAATTTGCATAGTTAGTCCCTCAACTTTGATGTTGGACATTTTGGTCCTTGGATTTTGACTTTTATATCAATTTTGCCCTCCATGAATTGCATCCCAATGTCCTCCAACTTTCAACACTTGTGCAACTTGGTCCCCAACTTCACAATCTTTCACACTTTTAGTCCATTTTTTTCATTTTGTCTTGTTCTCTTTCTTTTTGATAATTTTTACCTACAAACGCAATAATTACATAATTGTGAGTAGAAATTCGCTCATTTTTATCAATAACTAGTTAGGCACACGTGCAATACACGTGTCGTAGTGTAGTTGGCTACTTAATAGCGTGGAATGATTTTTGTTTATTTTACACAATTATAGAAGCTTAATGAAAGAATAAAAATAATTACCTATTAATGAATATTGTTTAATCTTGAGCAAAGATGAATTTTGCTGTGTAAGAAGATAATGTCAAATGTCTTGCCAGCAAATCCAGGGCAAGAAGCTATCATAAGACAACATGGAGTGTTTTCATATAATGTGAAATAAATTAGGTATGCGAACATCTTGCTTTGAGGTCATTGTCCTCTATAAATGATACTTAAGCCTCTAAAAAGCTTGTATATTTGGTACCTAAGAAAAGCCTTCGTATGCAGAGCAAAGCATTTTTGGTAACCTCTGCATTTTCATGGTTCATCAATTTCATCGCCCGCTCTTTAGCTTTGAGGTCATTCACGATGATACGCCTAGCATGATGGTACTATATGAACTGTGAGAGATTGAAGCAAGCAACAGCAAGCGTTCTAAGATTAGTGGACGTGTCCAAAATTGTTATCAGGACCCTCAGGATCTATAGCAACATATTAGATATTAATTTCTTGCAACACCGAAAGACAAGTAAGAAAATGCAAAAGATTTTAAATTGTGTACTTCCTATACATATGCAACATCAATGCCAAGATAAATAAAACACAATGAAATAAAATGGAACAGTTAGTCAAACAACAATATCTTGATTCTTTGCCTTCATCAGTTTATGTATACAACTTAAGTTCATTTCTGTCATTGGCGTAGATTGATAGATACAATCTTGGACCACCAATCTTATTAGACAAAAATGCTCATAGAGCAAAGCTACACAACAAAAGAATTTTCTTATTTTTATCTTGGTAGAGGAAGGATATATGACATCATAACCCCAAGTACAATAAAGCCAATTGAATAATTAATTTGGTAAGTCAACTTTAGATCCTTTCTCATACGAAAAGAATGATGAACAAAGTTAAAACGAAGCAGAACTGAGCAAATGACGAGGCGAAGGAACAAAAGACTGTAAATCCTATTTTTAATCCACTTTTCTCAAATACATAATCATTATCAATATCCAATTAAGAAAATTAGGAAGAGAAGTTGAGAGTCAATGAAGTATTTGTGAGAAATCTCAAGATAAGGCTCATCAGCATTATTGAATGATTTTAACAAGGGTATTTCAGAGGGAAGCAATCCTTTGTTGTAGGTTTGAATCTAGATGCTAAAGCAGTCACATGATCATATGTTTATTAGTGGGCTTTCATATCTAGAATGTCAAGTTATCCATACAAGTGCAACAGCTATAGCAGCTCAACTTACAAGGAGTTATGTTTTCGAAATATGAATAACAAAATAAAAGTATTCCAAGGACAGAGAAATACCTTGAAATCATTTTCTTCGAAGTTGGTAACATTGTCCCGCCAGAATAAAGAATCTTTGTGCATAGGTGACCAATCAAGTTGTCCAAGGAGGATTGCCTGCTTAAATTTATCAAAAGAATTTAGCTTCTTTATATTGTCTCCTTCTTCCAGTTGATTTAGAGCTTCCAGCAGATCCTACACAAAACCAATGATCACATAAGCACATATAATGCAAGGGCCAATAATGGATAGGAGGAAGATGCTCGGGGAAGAGAGATGGATTGACAGAGATGAACGCAGGATAAACTAAACACTAAGAACAACTTGAAAAGGTCAACCAGTAAGACTAAACTTACTTAACAATGTGCATCAACATACAAAGCAATAGTCTTCTTTTTCTTCTCTCTACTATAGAGAAGCTACAAAATGTAATAAAGACTAAGGGCACTAACCTTTATAATTTGAGAAATTAACTCGAGTAGCAAATGAGGCTGAAAAGACGAAAGGTTTATAAAAATTTGTCAGGCAAATAATATACATATTATGCATGTTTAGTAGCAAATTGGTTCCACTCACTCTTCCTTCAATCAAGTCTTGAGTACCAATATTGACTACTGTATAGCCAATAGCTATTGCAGAGTTGGATGAAGACAAGCCCGTGTCTCTCCATCCACCGTGTCTCCATGCCTCGTGCTGATGGAGAAATTTTTTTTTTAAAAATAATAGTGAAGGTTAAAGATTTCCTACATGTAGCACAAGATTTTTAACTAAATCAACCCAATTGCTAGTTTAGGCCTAATTATACATTAATTTTCCAGCATAAGCAAACTTATGAATTTATCATTTGAATTATAAGCCATAAGCTAATCCAATACATTGAACATCAGCATTTCTTTGAATAACCAATTAGATAATTTTACCATCATGAAACATCATAAGAGCCAATTATCAAAACACGGACCTATATGAACCTACATTAAATTAAAGTCGATTAAATTCACTGAGAATTCCAATGGCCAGATGATCAAAATGAATTAATTGACCAAGAAATTGAAAGGAAAATAAAGAAATCAAAACTGTCAGTGAAGAGCATCCCAACACAAAAGCATCCAATATAGAGGAAAATAGTGAATTTTCTTGAAACAACGTTCATCGAAGTTGACTCCACTCCTCTTCCAGGACATTCTGCTCTTATTTAGCTTAAAAGTTGTTTAATCTAAGTAACATTCATTATACCGTCTTCGTTCTAGTCTTGCTAGGCAACATTCAATTTCGTATTCTGAACTTACACCTCTCAAACCAACAATACCAAATATGACGCATCAAAGAATTGAACTCGAAATGATAAATATCCATTGGATCCAACATTCTGGGGACTTGAATGAAAACACATTAGAATTACAAAAAGAATTAAAAGGAAAATTTGAGATACAAAAAAAATGAATAGTATCTAGTCTAGTTCTAAAACAAAGAGTCGCAAATACAAATTTAAATGTTCTCTAATTTTCTCAATCCACTAGGTCATGAATAGTATCTGCCGATTGTTCACTTCCACCCAACGAAAAAATTTAAACTACACAAAGAAAAATTTCAAATCAAATCGAGATGAAGAAGGTGATAGGTGCAATTAGGTGGAAAGCGTGGAATAGGTGAAGAAGGCGGTTCCCATAAGGCGGGCGATGGGATACTTCTCCTGTCTCCACCGACTATGTCTTCGTATTGGGAATTTTAGCTTCCGTAGAGAAAACACAGGGTTTCTCATATGAGTGGGAAATGGAAGAAAAAAACACCCCTAGTATCGAAACGGCATCGTGTAGGTTGACGATGTTATTTTGTTGACATCTGGCATGAACGGTGCATTTCAAACTGCCTCTTTTATATTGTTTAGGATAAGTATATTTAATATTAAATAAGTGTGCAAAAACACACTTATCAAATACTTCCAAACTTAAACTCTTGCTCGTCCCGAGCAAGATTATCTAAAACACAATCAAGCAACATGTGATAATGACCAACACATTAGATAGGTTGCCAAAAATATTTATGAGTGTAAAATTGTATAATCAATTCACAAATATGCTCCAAATAATGGTAACAAAAGTCATTTTAGCTTATCCAATGTTCAATCGGTGTGTGGGTGCATAGTCATTTTCAATCATTATCTACATTATGAAAATGTTATCAAGATAGAAAAAATTTTAAATTGACTTCAACCCAACCCTTTGTTGTCAAATATGTCATTTCCCGCTCGTGAGATTTACACTCCTCAAATAAATATTTCTTTTCTTTTCACATGTGTAAATCTAAAGGTTGCTCTCAATTCATTCATTTCTTTTTTCGCTCTTGTTTGGTTGGATCTAACCGGCAATATCAACCTATAGTAATTCAAGTTTATACTAAGTAATGATGATTCTCCACTATATGAGTGCTTCGACATTCAAGTTTATACTAAGTAATTCAAACCTACTAGTTATCTAAGCCCATAAATCAAATACAATTGCACAATTTCATCAAAATTTTCAATATAAGCTCATGATTGATCTCACTCTCTTAAACTTTCTTATTGACCCTTTGTAGCGAGTTTTAGGTCAATAACTCCCCGATTGTTTAGACCAAAGGGTATCGAGTTTTGAGATACCCCAACGGATTTAATAACTCGAGTCAAAAAGGCTACGAAATGATGCAAAAATCAACAAGTGCAATGTTCCTTTTTAGCATTACAAAATAAATGGGGCTTAGATCCCTAGCATATGGTCATTACCTAACTTATACTTAGCAAAAGACACTCCAAATAATTTTTTTTTCTTTTCAACATGCATGGAATCAACACACTTCTAGAAAATATCATTTACCGGCTCGATCACCCCCAAACTTATCTTACTATATGGTTAAGTGAAAGAGAAGAGAATGTAAGATTGATAAAAAATTTAAACACAACGCATAACTTAGTTCTTACCAATTTTTAAAAAAAATATATATCCATCAATCAAAATTTTCCACGTCTAGATAACAATTAATTGTGACCATTGTGCTCAAAATAGTTTGAGATCCCACATGGACAAACAATTTTTGAAAAATTTGGCACAAATAGCATATTTGGTCTTAACTCGTGAATCAACAACAATTTTAAACATCAAACCCTACTAAGCCGGCAAGACTATCTAACATATCAACGCAAAATCACAACAATTTAAGCACAATCACCCACAAACTTAAATCACGCATTGTCCTCAATGTGTAGAGTACAAGATAAAAGAGAATAGGGGATAACGAAATTTCCCTGATTCTATATTTGGTAAAGATGTACCAATATTATACTTGGACTTGTGATGCTTTTAATGAACTTGGGCAAATGGCCTTCTTGTACACAATTTACCCCCAAACTTATGAGGAATAATATATATGTGGGATTTCAAAAATTTCCTACAAAAACAATAATAGTTAATCAAATAAAAATAGGAAAAATGCATAAAATTAAATAAAAGATTAAAAAGTTAGAAAATTAGGTTGCCTCCCAATAAGCGTTTTTTTTTTTAATAGGCTTTAGCTCGACTTTGGCAATTGACTCATGGGCATCTAAAGAAGGCTTTGGATGCCTTGTCCATTTTTTTCGTTTGGTTTTATTCCACTCTTCATTGGATCTTCAAAACTCAACATTGCCATTTTCCATATAATAGGACTCACCTATTCCATCCAATTCAAATTCAATTATGAAGATTTCTACTTCCTCATCGGGCTTAATCACAAAATCAATATTTTTGTAATCAACTAAGTTGGAAGAGTGTAAGTTGATTTTTTCCTCATTTATTGCCACATCCTCATTTAGCTCCGTTGTGATTAAATTTTCACTCATTTTAGGCTATTCTTCAATGGTTGAACTCTCATCGGGTTGAATGATTGGTCCACAGTCAAACTCAACGGGCAATGGCAAGTCTTTCCTATTAACTCCGTCGAGTGGATTATACCCACACCTTTGAAATTCATCCCAATATTTGTAATCTCCCACAAGCATGTCACCTTCATCCAACTTGGCAAGTTCATGGTAATACTTTGCAAGTACCTTCTCATTCAAAAATGGAGGACAATCTCTCGAAAATTTGATGTCCTCGTCTCAATCGTCAGGTACATAATTTCCCGCGAGCATGTAACTATCATCGAAATTGTCCAGTGCTTGTTTTCGACATTTCAAATATTGTCTAAACCAAAAAAATTCGACATTGAGGTATTGGTGCACGAATACAAGCATTGTCCTGTACAATGCATCACTTGACAAATTTCACATCTTGGACCTCCAATCGAATTTCCATAGTCAATATAAAGATTAGACATTGCAAATACTTTGTTAGTTTATCAAGATTGGAATAATGCAACTATAGCTGAAACTATAAGGAGAAAATACAAATACAAGATAGATTAAAAATACAAGGGTTAGCTAAATATTAAAAAAAAAAACAAGTAAATAAAAAAATTGTTAAAACTAAAATTAATTAAAGTGGTAATCAAAGTGAAAACATTCCCTAACAACAACGCCCAAAACTTGTTCGCTTGAAAATAATATACCGCAACTGCACGGGTCGCGTTCAAGTAATAAAGTGGACTTTTTAAATCCGGGTTGTCGATCTATCGAGGAATGTTACTTTAGATTACACGACTTTAATCAATTTAATTCTAACAATCAAATGAAATGCACACAATTAAGCATGAGATTTGAAAAACGGTAAATAAATTAAAAATATACAAAATAAGAAAAACACAAATATTTGGAAATTTCGGAGGAAGAACGTTGTTGGGATTCGTGGTTTCGTTTAACCGCCACCTAATGAATTTCTCTATAAGCCAATTAACGAATTACTTAATTTCGATGTTAGACCTAATCTTCCAATTTTAGTTAATTACCTCTCTCGAGCGAAATTAATCCTAATTGATTGATTAAACCTACTATATCTCTATGTCGATTCAAATCAAACAACCGCATTCAATATTTGTGAAAATATCTCAAAGGGTCACCTAGGGCTAATGGTATATCTCTATCCATTAAACAAATCTAGAGTTTCTACTATTTGGTCTAAAATGTACAATCTTCTCTCGAATGATGCACAAATCACTAAACACATTCATTCATTGGCCACACAAATGAAAATGCATGAAATACAATAATAAAAGCACATGAGAATAAACAACTTAATATCAAATAGCAAATATAGAAATAAATCAAAGCTATGTCAAACTAATTCCACAATCAATTAGCCCATTATATATATGTGATAACAAAGGAAAATATATATCAAATACATTACAAATATGGAAGAAAAATTGAGAAAAATCAAAGGTATAGATAAAATCCTATTTGAAGCTTTGCTTGATTTCCCCAAACTTCTTCACCACTTTGATCTATTTCCCTTTTTATGCCCTTGATTGCTCCAAAATATCAAGTAAAACAAAAGAAAAAGGGAAGAGAAAATGAAAGAAGAGAGATAAAAGAAATAAAATGGAAGAAGAAGCAAGAGAGAAAAACTCTCTACAAACTCTCCAGGATTTGAGTCATGAAATTTGATCTTTAAATACTCCCAAAATCGAGCACAAACAAAAGCCCAAAATGCCTCAAGATTTCTGATTTTCGACAATTTTAATGTATAGATACGCACCATTCCAGAAGTAAAGTGCGCGGGTGCGCACTCTTGGTGAAATCACAAATTGCACAGGAGGTCATTGGGATAATTTGCATAGTTAGTCCCTCAACTTTGATGTTGTACATTTTGGTCCTCGTATTTTGACTTTTATATCAATTTTGCCCTCCATAAATTGTATCCAAATGTCCTCCAACTTTCAACACTTGTGCAACTTGGTCCCCAACTTCACAATCTTTCACACTTTTAGTCAATTTTTCTCCTTTTGTCTTGTTCTCTTTCCTTTTAGTGATTTTTACTTACAAACGCAATAATTACATAATTGTGAGTAGAAATTCGCTCACTTTTATCATGATAAGTATATTTAAGTATTAAATAAGTGTGCAAAAACACACTTATCAGCACACCTCCAAATTCTTGTCCTATCGCAATACTTAAACGTCAAATTTTACTTGTTTTTTAATAGAACTGTTGAGGCTGTTGTTGATAGCTGAACTTTCATCTTTTTGGAACCAAAGTGTTGAAGTGTTGAACTACTGAGGCTGTTGTTGATAGCTGAACTTTCATCTTTTAGGAGTCGAAGCAGTGAAGTGCCGAACTACTGAAGCTCTTGTATTGTTGTCTATAAAGCATGATTTT